GAGTCAAAAAACCATGTGAAATAGATATTACAAAACAAAAACAAAGTAGCCAATATCCTCTAATTGCCTCACTTTCTTTTACGTCTATTTGCTTTTTAAAATAGAAGTTTTGCGTGTTTCATGGGTTAAATGTTTTGTTACAAAAAACGAATACAGGACTACGAATACATAGACTTCAAAACTAAAACTATGAAAAACATAAGTAAAATGCTATATATCACTAGATTATGCAAATTTCTTTGCTTATTTTATTTGCTGTCAGTGTATGCACCTAGTTCTATAGTGTCATAATATTACAGTGCATGCGCAACATATATCAAGTCTTATTCGAAATGATTATTTAGCCGCAAACATCATGGTCATCAATGTTGCTACAGCGCCAATGACAATGGACCATTGCTCCTTGGTCATAAAGAAAAGGCTGGGACTTTCTTTAAGATACACCAGTCTGCAGATATTCCATTTATCAGTCATTATATYTATGATATTCTACCGTATTATGACTGTTGTCGTTGGAGTGGCAGTAGCTTTTGTGAGCTATACTACAGAAAAAGGCCTTCGATTGATGGAAGCAGATATAAAGCTCCTAATATTGGTTAGTATTATTGTTCAGTGTTCGAATGTTAAACAGAGTTTAGCCCCCCAAAATATTTACCCAGTGCATGGAGGCCTGCAGACTTATTATAAACGATTTTATCATATAATGTTTATGAAATACCTATATTTTATTCATTTCATAAAGTTTCTATTTTCACTAGTAGATAAAATAACATATTTCGTGATTTCTCTATATAGTTGAAGTAGAAAAAGGTATTTTACGACATAAATTACATTCATATGCAATTATATGATAAATAGAATATTACATGGTCGCTTGGAGATATGAATTCGTTTATCTTCTCGTGTTGAAAATCTCTTACTCGTTCGCTGCGCTCAATAGTGGGGAGATCTTTTTTTATGACTCGAAGATAAAATCCGTATCTGTGCGCTATGTTTTTCCATGTCTTTCCCACTTCCAGATCTGCAGGACGAACCATATTTTAACTGAAATCAGATTCACTTATTTGTGTTATGCATTTTTCAGCAAATAATACATTTGTTAAACGCTATTTCCTATTTCCTTGTTTGTAAATGTAAGCAAATGAGTCACCTAGTTTCAGTTATTTTCTGCGTGATTTAGGTTTATCGCATGGTGATCCGCAYATWGTAACATTGGAYGGAGTTCAATACACGTTCAAYGGYCTCGGTGAATTCGTTATACTCAAAACTTCCAATGACGAGTTTATGTTACAAGGAAGAATGGAACAGCTAAACATGACAAACGGGACGTCGATCAATGCAACTGTTTATACAGCGTTTGCTATGAAGTCAAATATCTCCGACACCGTGCAGGTTAGAGAAATCAATAATTAACAAATTGCKYWSGGTTTTGAGTTKTATGTCCTCTTATTGACACACTCTTGACGTCATAAAATATGTTCAAAACTCAAKTGGTTCAMTGMAAAGTTTTATTTRTGCGYGCGTGAGACGTGATGTTGTTATTTATGATAATAACGATGATATGAATAATATTTATTTATCTGACATGTATAGATCCAGTTAAATGACTCTGGATGTGTTGATGTGCTAGTTAATGGAGARAAAAAAGATTTTGATGAAGAGCAAACGATACTCTTTTCTAATGGACTCGTSGAAAGGCAGCCCAACACAACAAAATATGTGGTATTATTCWMAAACGGAATTGCAGTGACTGTTGAGGGGGAMWCGGAGMTTTTGCAGTTGATGGTCAAAGCACCTCCCCAGTACATTGGTAATTAATTTTTTGAAATTTAATTTTTCTATTTTCACTTTAAGAGTATTTAATGGAATACTCACAGGCTCGGAAATTTAAGCTCAAATATCTTATCGAGGGATATATGTCAAGGCATTTCGGCTTACGCCTTATCCTTAATAAGCGTAGGGTAATGAATCTTGCTAAACAAAGAAAAAGGCGGACAAACCAATGTAATAATCAACAAGTTTCAGTTACTTTAGTGGAAATTCCTCATTATTAMCATTTAATAAAAACTACCTGCTTCACCTTATGCCTCTTAACGTAGTTGTCTTTGAGACAGGATTATCACGAAATGAGATTTTGAAGCACTGAAAATTATATTAAAAGCAAATAACTTTGTTATTCACAAAGTTAATTTCACATTTCATTGTTGAGTATTCTTACTTAGGTAAAACAAGCGGCTTATTGGGATATTTTGACAATGACAAAGAAAAGGAGTTTCTCCTACCAAATGGAACATTTTTGAAGACCTCTTCCAAAGCTGCAACCCTCCACTATGAATTCGGTTTAAAATGTAAGGACTGCTTATATTATGGAATATGTAACTAAAGTATTACAGATATTATACTAACTGTTTTATCAGGCGATTTTCGGGGGTAATTCCATTTAAGTCAACTTAAATGGCCTCTTATTTGTATTTCTTTATCTCCATTCAATTGTATTGATACATTCCTATCTAATGCCATTTCAGGGACAGTTGATGCAAATTATTCAATCTTTACCTACTTTGGGACTAAAAACCATTCCTTATTCACGAAGCCCTCCTTCGTTCCCTTGATGTTTGATTACGATAACTTAACGTTTGCCAACGCGCACCTTGAAGCTGAATCAAGACGAATTTGCCAAGACGATGTTCAGTGTTTAATWGACGCTATAGCTACAGGGCATCCAAGCTTTGCTTTGTTGTCCCAAAACATCAGAAAGGAGTTCAAACGGGTCGTAACGATTACCGAGAGACAAGGTAAACAAGTAACATTATATTTTGCGCTTTTGAGAATGATTAGGTCCTAAATAGCTATCTATGTACGTTTAGAGAATTAAGATAATGGAAATTCATTTACCGGCAGCGATTTTTAAAGTGTTCCCTTTTTATGCAAGAGACTTGACAGTTACTGTGTCTCACCTTGTTTACAATGTACTCTGCATGAAATTAAAGGTGCCGCCGGTGTAAGCATTGCTTTCGATAAGGGACAACAATAAATAATAAACAAATACACTAATACAGTTACTGTATCTTCTTCTTTGCCMCTTTTTTTGGAAATCCTACACTGTGTTTTTTTGTTTTGTTTGTTTGTTTTATCTAAGCATTACAATAAGATGTAATTACCATTGGGATATTTAGCGATTCAAATGTCACCGGAGATCTGAGGGAGGTTTAGTAGATGCTTAATTCCTCATCAATTATTAATGAGGACTAGTAAGCAATAGAACAAATTTTCCTACATATATTTCATAAATAAACATTTTTAAAACTATTTTTAGATTGCATTGCACTCTTTCCTGAGCTTGCGTTTGGACAAATGCAAAGAACAGACCTAAAGGATGGGGAAATCCAGTACTTATTTAAATGTGATCCCAATTTTGTTTTGGATGGACCAGAAAAGATCTCTTGCAATAATGGAAAGTGGAATGGGACCAAACCAAGCTGTAGAGGTTGGTAATGGCACATAGGTCTGCATAAATATATCCCTCTTCTTGAAATTACTTGTATTTTTGGTTCAAACGGGTTTTAAAGAGTTGAGGTCTTTATCAGTAAAGATACTGTGTAAAGTTAAATCTATTGGTCAGATATTTCTTACGACAGCGAGCAGTATCCCCATCAAATCTTAGTACAAGGAACTTAATCATCACTGACAGTAAAACTTATTTGAGTGATTGGGCTTTCATAGGTTGCTCTTCAGTTGGCAAAAACGTTATTGTTGATAGTATAAGACTGACTGGTTTGGATGAGGTCACCTATAAATTCTCGTGCAAACATGGATATGAACTGCTTGGTCCAAAATTTGCGACATGCAAAGGTGGAGAGTGGAATGGAAACCGTGTAGATTGTATAAAAGGTTAGACAAGTGCTTTTGCTCGTTATCATCTTTTCTATTTTTCTTTTTTTTGTGTGTGTGTGTGTGTATCATGCATGACGCATTTTCAATATTAGTAATGTCGCAGACATCTCTTCTCTTTAAATTAATGTTGATAAGAATCGTTTTACAGAGATGATCCCAAAGGAAAAAAGCACATTTACACACAAATATTAAGAGAATTGCACTTGTTCTTATGATATTTCTTTGAATTAGGATGCTTACCTGTTACTCCAGACGTTGTCGTCACTAATACGAACAAATCTGCAAACGACGAAATCACATACACAATTTCGTGCAAATCAGGCTTTGAAATGGTGGGTCCAAGCACAATGAAATGTAGAAGTGGAGAATGGCTCTCAAACGTAACAAGATGCTTGAAAGGTTAGCTTATTCATGTGACCATAACACAGTAGCGGGTCCATATCTCTTGAATGCAGGGAGTGAGCATACCCCAGCCTGAGACCTCGCAGTCCTGAATACTATTTTGTGACTCCTCGGAGGGCACTTTTTGCGGACTGGGAATGCACGGCCTCATTTGGTGACCTGCATTCTTCAACGAATTTTAAAAGTCCTAGATACGCTTAAAGTACTTAACATGAGCCGTATTCAGTCATTTACTTATGTGAATGTAAAAGTACGACGTTTGATCTTTTGAATAAGGGAAGTTCTATTTGCATTTAGAACCGAGGAGAGCACAAGTTAAAGTACCTGTACAGCAAGATTCCAAAATGGTCATTGTTGTTTCCATATCTTGCTCATTGGCCTTCGTTGTCATCGTTGCTTCCGTTTGGTGCAGATTTTCGAGAAAACGACGCACCAGCAGAAAAGAAACAATGCCTGCTTATGGAAATGAGTTTTCCTTTACATGGGAAARAGAAAACTCTAAAGAAAACACCGCCGTTGTCTTGTCAGTATTGAATCTTTCAAAAGAAGATTGAGCGATTCTCAAAGCAACCGGCGTGCTGCTAACACTAATCCATATCCTCAGTTTTTGTTTTGCGTTTCTTTTGTAATAGTCATATAGTCAAGGTACAATTGTAGATAGCAATATCATTGCTAACATCGACAAGGTAGTTATCTATGTCCACCTTACAAAGGTAAGGCTTTTATTGTGATGTAGGACGCAGAGACCGGCACTGAGCTATCTTTCATCGCCAACGATGTACTGGAATTGTCTGAGTGATCTTGATAAGCTTCTGTTTGAAATTTTGACATATAAAATTGCTTTTAAGTAAACTTTTTTCTATTTCTTTATGATAACATTTTTTACGTACACTTAATTACAAACGCTGTCCTGAGAATTAGTGATTGAGGAACATAGGACTGCATAAAGATACAAAGTGTAACAATTCAAGCCTATAACGCGCTTTCCTTTTGTATTTCTGTTAAGAGACTTAGTTTATGCAAAAATATTATGTTTATGTAGAATAAAAATRCATCATAAAAATAAAAAAAGAACCTTACTCTTTATTATCTTTTATGCCATATTAATTTAGATGTTGTAAGACTCTTCTTTAAAACTAACGGATTGACTCCAGATTGATAAATATTAATAAGTCACCTCATTTTCCATACTATGAAAAAYATAAAAYACTTTAAAGTGCTAAAGCTTTTTAGCGRCCTTTTGAATTAAAATTAGATGTAATTTATTTGAAAGACTATATCATTTTTTTCTCATATACAGTCTCATGTAAATGCAGAAATATATAGAGTCATTTTCATCCGTCTCTGAAATAATTACTACTAGTCAGTGTTTAATAGTAGCTATTAGGGTGTAGTAGGCTACCAAAAGACAAAATCAAAACCGTTTTTTGCCTTATTTGTTTGTCGCTTGTCATAAGTCAAACTATTTGGAGCTAATAGGGGGTAATAGTATTTCACAGACGGATGAAAATTACACTACTGTACTTGTGAAATCGGTTCCTTCTGTATAGTTGCCGGAGCACATATTTTGTAATGTAATGAAACAAAAGCAATGAAGCAGAAACTAATATACAACCCCCAAAATACAAAGAAACATCACAAGAATACGATAGATTCTGGTACACAGAGAAACCAACGACCCTTGAAGTCGTAATGTGCTACAGTGGCATGTTAAAATCAAGTTAAAAAACGCGTCTGACGAATATTGACTGTATTATCATGATATTGGTAAGTTTGGTTGATTGTTTTCAAATGAGATTGGTGGTAAGTTGTAAGCATTCCTATCCAAACAAATTATCATTCCAAATAATTAAAGGTTTGAATGATGAAAGAAAGTAGCAAAGACGCAACGGAAAGGAGCAATAAGAAAAGACAGAATATACCGAACACTGTGGACAAAATGAAAACAAAGAATTGATATGAAAAAAATCAGAAAAAGGTGAAAGATCAGTATGAAAGACTTTAAAGTTTAAAGATCAAAAGGAAAGATCAAAGTGAAATTTCAAAAGAAAAGTTTTGAATTCTGGTGAATTGTAATTAAAATAATTATCCTACCC